AAAAGGACGGATAACCTAAAGGAAAGGCTCGGTCACTGAGCAACTTTCAGTGGATGCCTCCATCCAAAGAGCATAGTAATAGTACTATGAGGAAGATTTAAAAATTAGAAATAAGTTATTTGGAAAAATAGCTAATTGAATGGAGAATGTGCTCATTTTATACAAGTAAGCAGTACAAAAGCAGACGTAGGCCAAACTAATAGATAAGATGGTGTAATTTAAAGGAAGATGATAATTTCAGCAGCCCCATCAGTTACCCAAATGCATCTTTGTGCAAATTAGAAAAAGCTGCCCCTTCTTCATGACATTTTTACTATAATTCTCTGGAAAATTTGTTTTATAAATAAACTAAGAGACCTCTGCTGTCTATTTATGTGAACGGCCCACCTATAGTCGTGCAATGTACAGACTGCAAAACAGTATGTGGCAGCCCAAAATTTTAAGAACTTTTATTTGGATTTATACTTATTAGACATACAATATTATAACAACATTAAGAAAACATTTTTTCAGAAAATACTTTTTACACATGATTTACTACTCCAACATATTAGTTATTTTCAGTTTTTCCAAGTTCCCACCTAGTCTCTACCAATATGCACACATATTTTTAAAAATTATTGTAATGGTAATTAGCGTGCAATTTTCTACTCTGATTTTTCCACTTAAAATAATAGAAATAACATGATCTTACATTACTACATTGTCTTTCTTTTATGATTAATTACATAATTTTGTACCAAATGAACATATAATGAATTTAACCATACTTTTGAAATTTGAGGAACGTGAATCAATATGCTATGATTGGTAATATTCTACTGATAAGAACAAAGTTACACTGAAAACTTCTAGAGAAAGGAGTTATTTAGATAGTATATACAGGTAAAATAATGAATATCCTTCCAAAAAAATCACACCAGGATGAATATTTTATTGGAACACGGCTAATAAAGAGCTGAATTTGTATCTGGATACTTTTTGTCTGAAGATCATGTTTCCCCACTTGTGTTCACACTGTCATGAACCATTTCAGGATTAAAACCTCCAGTGGTAAATTCCACATAAACCACATAAACATCACGCAGCAAGACACACCACGGAGAAGCAGCGGGTGCAAGGGGAGGCATGTGGGTTTTGGACAGAAATGGACTTTGACTGCTGTGCTTTGAAATGTTATGTTCTACAAAAATTCTTGCACAAGAATGTTCATCACAGCTTTATTTTTAATAGCCAAAGCCAAACAGCCCAGGTGTCCATCAACAGGAAAATGGATAAACAAACTGTGGCATGTTCACCCTGGAATACTATTCAGCAATAAACAGAATGAACTATTGATACACACAAAAGCATGCATGAATCTCAGAATTATACCTGGTGAAAGAAGCCTTACACCAGGGAACGTGCTCCATGATTCCATTAGACCAAGAGCTGGAACAGGCAAGGCTAACCATGTGGAAAATAACCAGAATGTTGGTTGCTTCTAGAGGTTGAGGTGGGAATCTACTCAGAAGAGACATGAAGGAACTTTCTAGGAAGATGGTCATGTACGTGTTTTTCTGAATTCACATAATGGTACCCTTAGGATTTGTGCACTTTATTGTAGGTAAAATGTCTCAAAGAAAAAAAGAACCTGAACAAATATTGAACTCTACTGAATGATACACATACCCAAGTATTTCAACTTACTTTGAAACGCATAAACACCAGGGTGGATCGATGGATGGATCGAAAGTTGACATAGAGGAAGATGGGTGAAAAAGTGAGCACAGGAGCACTTTGGTTATGGAATCTAGGTTCTCCTCTATGATCCAAATGTTCATGATAAAACACTGCAAAGTGTGTTTTAATCTGGGACACGGTTCATAAACTTCTCAGTTTCAATTTCTGCAAAATGGAGGTGATAGTATTTGCTTCACAAAGTTGTTGTGATGTTTAAGAAACACTGCCACGAAAATGGGCCTGGTATGTAGTAGATGTTCATGTGCCCTGTGACGCTGCCTGCCTTCTCTTTCATCCCCTTACCTGCCTTGTCAATTTATAAGCCGCGACATGTACTTTTAGATTTGACAGCAGTGTCTGTCTTTGAGAGTGTGGTCTAACGTGGTGTGTAGCGGAGTTGTGGGGTTATGGGAATGAACTGTCGTCTGCTGTCTGCTGAGTGTGTAGTCCTGGAGTGGAAGAGAGGGTTTTAATGATGGTAGTGGCTCAAGCTCCAAGCAGACGGGACAGCCTGTGGTGATACTTGCGCTAAAGAAATTAACAGAAAGGAAAGAAGAAGAACAAATCCTCAATTGGCAATCCTCATGTGGATTTTGATATCAAAAAACTAAATCGTTATTCAGCTCACTGAAAGCTCCACTTGTGAGCACTCGTTAATTTAATAAACATTGAGGGTCTCCTGCATGCCTAGGAGCTACGGATACAGTGACCGATGAACACTAGACGGACGTGGATGCCTGCCCTCTTGGAGCGTATGTTCTAGGAATGCTCAAGTTCAGTGGATTTACAGGGATCGGCCAGGTATTTAGAATTTACTCTGTACCAGGCAGTTGGAACACCATGATGGGCCAAACAGACGTAGCCCACACTCTCATGGAGCTTACTGTCTGGCAGAAAAGGCAGCTTTAATCAAATCACCGCGTGTGACTATACTAAATACATTACAAGTGTGCAAAATACTGTGAAGGAGAAAGACTGGGTTCTTAAGGAAATTTAGGCAGGAGAATATTCCCCTGTAGCCTGAGTGAAAAGGATTTTCCCCTTAAACTTTTCTGTGAGTTAAGAGAGTAGGGTGAGCACAAAACAGACATTGGGATAGCCAGTGGCCCACGTTGGGTCAACAACAGAATGAGGAAGAGAGAGAGGTGCGCCAGGAAGCATTGCAGCCAGTGGCACTGCTTGCTTCATCCTATTGATTTCTCGTTGGTTTATGCCTGAGCGCTTCCTGCATGGTTGCGCTACAGAGAGCAAAGTGAGAATTGTTACATTGCTTTTAGCCATTGTAAGGAATCCTGGAATTAGGTTTATCTTCTGCCTAGTCAAAGACTACAGAAAACACTCCAACACTCGCATGGTGCCAAGAAGCTGTTGGAGATGTGGGGCCTGGGGTCACCACACAAAGCAATTATACAGCTGACCCATTGCAAAAACATGTTCCCCAACTGAGGTCATTGGCTCTGAGCAGAAAGAAACAGAAGCCAAGGGAATATGGAGATCTGATGAGAAGTACGTGTATCTCACAAATAAAAATGGCTGCTCCTACAATCGTAACATGTCCTGGGAACAAGTGAAAACTAAAGCTCTGTTGCACTACACATTCCTCAGTGGGGACATGCTGATCTGTGGGATTCTGAATGCCTCATTTCTTAATCAGCAGGCAGCTGGGCTGTGCTTAGAGAACTTCCCTGTCCCAGCACTGTCAGCAGACATACAACAGGTGCATAATAAATTCCAGTTGAATTATTACAGTTTTGTTTCCGTTTGCTACCTGATTCCCTGGAGGATAAGAAAGATATAGAAATACCTAGTGATGAGTAAAGGAAATGTACAGGTGAGAAGTTAATTTAGAGTTGTGTTATGATCCAGCCAAAACGCCGAAAGTGAGTCCAGTGGGATTCAGCTTTGCCTATATGAGCACGGATTACCTTCTCTGTCCAGAGGGATGGCTAAGACTACAAGCCATATCTCATGGCATCCTCTGAAGACCGAGAAGGGCTGAAAGTGAAGGAAGCCAAGAACATCAGGGAAGGACAGGCTGGGATGTTAGGATAGAGGGGAGCCACGGCGTTATGCCACCCAGCTTCACAGACTCCACTCCACCATAAGCGGCTGTGAGACTCCAGGCAGCTTGCCTCCAGTTCCCCTTCTGTGGCATGGGTGTCTGCCTCACAAGTTTCCTCAAAAGAATCACTGGAGTTCATGCCCCTAGCAGACTTTCTGGCAGATAATCAATGCTCCAGAAATTTTAGTTTTCACCCCTAATGGTTTTTTAAAATGATCCCAATGTCCTCTCTAAGATTTTTCAATAAACATATAACTAAAGATAAAATGTCACAACTCTGTGAGACCTTTTATATAAATATGCTCACAAATCAGAAAAGAAATCTTCCTCCTCATGCTCTGATTTGGGTTCAGATTGTATGAGCACCACACCCCCATGGTAGGTCCCTTAGTCTGGCTTCTCCGGGTTGGAAACACCCTCCTCCCACTAGAAGGCTATCACACAACCTGGCAGAAGATTCCAGGTGGGTTCCTCTCTTCAAGACAACTGTGCGTAAATAAACTGGATTACTTTGCTATAAATATATAATTAAACATAAGTAAATGAATAAGTATATATACACGCCCAGGGCGTAACAAGCCCGAAGAATCCATGCAATCTGAGTTTGTGTGTGCGTGGTCTCAGGCCTTGATGTGTCCGCAGGCCTTGGAGAGAGAGAGCTACAAGGCACTCACTCACCTCCAGTAATATCAGGTTGAAACAGTGAAGATGTTTTATGCCTTGTTTAAGCTGGTAAGTGTCATGACTCTCGGAATAACAGTCTTGCCGAGACATTGACACACTTTTCCTCCTGGTATGTCTTTGCAGAACTGTTCCTCTCTGTGCAAAATTAACCGATACCATCCCTGAGGACTCTGGGCCTCCCCTCTCAGGGTGCCTTTGAATCTGCACGTTTCCCTCTCTGCCTCTTTTCCAAGGTGCAGGAATACGAGAGCTGCTCCTAGCTAGAGCCCAACCCTGTGTCAGAGCTCCCGGCCGGCCCCAGGCCTTTAACCCTGGCTGGATAGCAACTCCGCATCTGAAGGCAAAAACAATCCTCCTGGAGGCTCGGCCCTCCCCCTGCCCGTGATAGGCTGCCGGGAATAGCAACAGCGTGTGTCACCGAAAAGGGCAAAGCCTTCGGAAATAGAAACAAAGTTGGTCACAAATCACATTGGCTTTGCCTGAAGTTTTTTTCACCCTTCTTTAGAATGGGACCATGGGGAAAGTGACCACTCCTGTCAGTGGAGGCGGTCGGGGTGGTTTGGTGCCGAGGGAAAGGCTGTAACTTCTACGTGACCATGGTACCTGTTGAAAACACGGAGGGCCCCAGTCTGCTGAACCCGAAGGAGAGAGCGGCGCAGACAGATGGCCGCGACAGAGCCGGCGGCCGGCATCCGTCCTGGGCGAGAGGTAAAGTGAGGCAGCGGGGCTGGGGTGAGAGGCCAGAGGAGCCAGAGGAGCAAGCTGTAGTCGTGTCGTCTCACTGGTGTGTGTGTGTGTGTGTGTGTGTGTGTGCGTGCGTGTACACGGGAGCCTGCTCGGTGCATGGAGAGAAGGGGACAGGGTCTGGTGGGAGGAGTGACAAGGAGCTATAACATGAAGATTGAAGTCCCACCACTGGTGAGCTGGGTCCTGTCCATCGTGTTGACAATATAATGTGTAAATCGTCTTCATTTTGGGAAGATTGGCCGGCAAGATAGTCACATGTGTAAACACACACCCCCACATGCACGCTTTTTCATTTATTGTCACAAAGGGACAACCTGTAACAAGTGGACATTATAACCACCATTTTTTAATCAGTATTTTAAATAGGTTTCATAAAATTAATAGTTACATAATCAATGAACACGACTTTCTTTTAAGTCCCCAGTATCCATTTGGAATGAGTTTGAGCATTATTCGGAGCTGAAAACCTTGGCTTCATCACTCCTGCCTTCTTTAAGACTGGCTTTTCGAACTGAGGTTTGTTCGATACTTTGCCTTCTGGAGGTGAAATTTGGAAAAGTTTTAATTCATTTCTTTGCTAGACCAAATGCTGTTCTTCAGTTCCACATTTACAGTTCCCACAAACACACTCTACACTTTTAGCTGCCTCTTCCTATTCATTTAGTTTGCTCTCAAAAGAATAGAAATGAATCATAATATGAAATGAAATCAAACACAAATAATTCTCTCCTTCCTACCGCTTTCCTCAGCTCTGCTCCCCCTAATCATATAATATAATCTCAGGCCATATACTGGAATTCCATGAATAATCCAAAACACTAAACGGTACAACAGGCATTTACCTTTCCCCTTGGAATGGATCTAGCAAATACTCATGTGTGCACTGTGGGTTCGTCTGATGTTGGAATTGAACCCATGACCCCTCTCACAGAGGCACAAAGGGATGCCTCCTCGAGAGTGAGAAGCTGTCATCCTTCCCTGTCCTGCTCCCTGCTCTGACTTCTCTTGTTTTCTCACTTTTGGTCAAGAATGAGTATCTGGGTCATCCTTCAGCATGGCCTCACCCTGTTGAGCAGAGCTGCCCCTTGATGTAAGTGTGCTCTCTGGCTCCTAAGTCCTAGAACAGGCAAGGGAAACTTGTATTTGAGGGCAAAGGGGAAAAGTTGCAAAGTTCTTCTTTCTGAATTCCAGCAAGATTGAACTGTAGGGTGAGCTCAGGTGGTCATGCCAACCAAGGTGTTCACTAAGTAGAGGCAGCGATAATGTCACAAAGAAGAGGGAAAGAAGCTTTGTGACCATTAAAAATTGGCGATTTAATTTCGATATGGCTTTGAAAGCACAGTGTACTCTTCATAGGTTAAACGGTACAAGTTCACAATTATCCCGAAGGAGGCTCACATGTACTTATGTTTGTAAAGGTTGAATATATGCACAGAATTCAATTTAAAGTGCAACTGTTTGTGTTGTTGTAAAGAAAAGATAAGTGAATAAATACCATGAATTATCTTTTAAATGAAGCTTTATTATTAGAGGAAGCTTAAATGTTTCCCTAAACTCTCAAATGAATACAGCTTTGATTTGTGCTGTATAGCATGTATCTTTAGATGAATACAAATCTTTTAGTATTACTTTTGTAAATTTTCCTAAATTGTCTTAAACAGCTCTTGGTACCCAAAGGCGATCATCTGTATATATATGTATATAATGAATGCATGGTGCAGACTTCTGCATGGTTTTGACAAGTTACTTAATCTCCCCACTGGGATTGTATTTCAGTCTGTTTTATGAAGATGTTGAGGTTTAATTAAATAATATTTGTCAAATACTCCTTTCAACTTCTTTATATTTTAAACTTCTATAGTTTCATCCAGGAAATTCAGAGTATTTAAAATATGCTCAATAATTATCATACTATTTCTGCATTTGAAGGTAGCAAGTTTTTCTATATTCCTAGCTGGGAAAATTAAAGCATAAAGAGGAATGAGTTATACAACCCAGCACAAGGCAATTAAATTATCTGAGGTTTAAGGGGGGGGTGCTCTGTGATTGCACCCCCAATGCTATTATGCACAATGAAAAGTGGTGACAGGTCTCCCTTGGCCAACCCCTCTTTAACTAGAAAGAATGCTTTGTTCCAATGACTAGAAGCTAATGAACTTAAATTCATTTTCAAGAAGCTGTGACTCAAAGTGGGTACGTTTTTAGTAAATTTTTCAGTGTTCATAGACATGTTATAACTGACCTTACAGGGCAGGTTGAGCTCAGTTTGAAATCCCAGGGCCTAGAGCTGACAACAGATATAGGGGAAGTGAGAAACATGGACAGCTGGAGCATCTCACACTAGGAGAACACAAGGCCAGAAGATGTGTGGTTGGCTCCAGTTCACGCAGCGGCTGGCGCAAAGCTGACGCTGGTGGCCTCTGGCCTGGGAGGCCCAGTGCCTCCTCCTCCATCTCAGGACCTGGGTCTCCCAGGCTCTCCTAATTTCATGATTCAAACAACCGGCTAGTGGGAGGGTTTCCTTTAAACCCACTTTTACCCCACCAGTACTGCATTTTCCTTGGATCTGTCCTAAAGGTCAGAAACCCAGAACAATATCCGCCATATGAGTGCGGCTTCTCAGCACTGCAGATCCAGCTGCCGAAGGCTCTGGAGCCCAGGTCGCTAGAAGTGGACTCACTGACCCAGTGAAAGGGCAGCGCTTCAGCCCTCTAAGACCCTCCTAAATCTGAGATGCTACAGTCTGAGATTTAAGAAATGCATACGTCAGCTAACCAGAGGGATACTGAAGGCAGTTCTCAAACATGCTTAAAGCTGTGAACTCCTTTGTACAACTGGAAGCTGGGTAGGTGGTCAGTCCAGGCCACCATGGCCCGCTCTGGTGGACAGCGGGGAGGTGGACAAGGACGTCGGCTGGTTTGGCTGCTTCCCTGCTCCCTCCCGTCCCTTGTAGCCCTGAGCAGGCTCCTGGAGCAGGGGGATCACACCCCTACTCTGATTAGGCAGGCCATCTTGTTAATTTTGGTTGGGGCATATTCCCTGAGGTGAAGTTTAGTTGTAAGAGAAACTTTGGGAACAAACATCCCCAGGAAAGAGCAAGTCAAGCCAATCAGCCTGACCTGATAACAGGGCTTTGGATATGAGAGGAGCTTCTAACAACAGACCTGTCACTTGAGAAGACTCAGGCCTTGGCCATTCCCATTCTCCCAGGCTCTGCGTATATTAAAAAGTGACAAAACCTGTGACAAAAATTTTGTGTTTTAGAAACATGTGTGTTTAACAAATTAATGGCTGACAACAAAAAATTGTTGAGCATAGCTTGATATTTCCAAGGAAATGACAGGGTTTATAGGCGTGTGAATTTTCGAGGGACTAGAGACTCTTTTGTCTGGAAAGAAGACCAGATTTGAAGATAACCGCCTCCCCCTTCACTTCAGTCAGCTTCTCTCTGTGACTGTACATTTACCCTCGCTGGGAAATCACATCCAAAGTCTAAATTTGAGGCTTTTCATGACCGTGAGGCTGGGCAAATGGCTTCTCTGGGGTCTAGGAAGGGAGAAGGCTCTGAACAAACACGAGGGGAGATGTTTGGCCACAAGCTTTGGGTGGCGTTTGGCCTACACGGCAGGGCTCCTGTTCCCCTTTAAGATCGTGTCACCTAGAGGGACAGAGAGGTTGCCTCTTACCACAGACCACCTCTTGGCCGCCAGCAGACATGCACTGGCGGGAGCCTGCGGGGCAGGGCCCAGCAGATGTGGACAAAGCCAGGCCAGGAGCCGCCAGGCAGTGCAGTGACAAAGGGACTGACCTGAGCCGGCAGACAGCAGCGTGCCCGAACTGGTTCTGCAGCCAGTGTTTGTTCTGATAAGTCAGTGCCGGCCCCAGTTGTCACATATTTTAAACATCGCCCTTCTCTCTGGTAAGATCGAGAGCTGAGATCCCAGGAGCACGCCTGGTGGCAGCTAACAGGACCCTGATGTGGGCCCCCAGGGGACACTCCGTGTGAATTCTCACCGGGACACTGTTTAGTGGTCTAGGTCTCACAGTGGCTGGTGAAAACAGAGCTCAAAAGTCAACGAACCCACCCTGGAGGGGCCTGAGGAAACCCCTGTGTACACGTGCATATCAGACGCGCATTGGCCAAGTTGAAATGCAGTCTTCAACGGCCGTAGATGTATGGGTTAGATTTCTCCTGCAAGAGGAGTTAGTTCTGGAATCTGGTTGTGTATGCAGTGTTTTCTCAGTAGGAGGAACCGAAGGACTACTTAGCCTCAGGGTTTGGAAAGTTCCAAGAGCTCCAAGCAGCCTTCCATTAGCCGGCCATTAGCTTGGGCTATAAGAGTCAAAGCGGCTGTTTGCTCAGCTTGTATGAGCAAGAGCTGGTTCTATAGGATTCTTAAGTTGAACGCAACAGGGCTCCCTAGCTCAATTTTTTTCTCATGAACAGTCTTCCCCAAAGGATGAGTTATTGAAAAAAAGAAGGCCATGAAATCCACGTCCAAGGACACCAAGTTATGGGGTGAGAAAGGGGGAAAGCTGGAATGGACTTCTTCCCAAGAGGCTGTTTGACCAAATACCAAATAAGGGTGGTTTATCACCCCATCTGCCCTCAAAAAGTACCCAAGCTCAGTTAAAGGCACTGGACCTGAAATCCCCCCAAATATTTCCCAGCTGAAACCCGAGTCAAATATATTACCTTTGTAGTAAATCATAAATTCATATGTTTTTTTTCTATTCGATTTTGTTTTGTTTGGCTCATTGGTATCATTTTCTTTCCTATGTCACAGCGTGCTCTTTTACGCATTTGGTAAATGGCTATGCCTCAGTGTTATACTAATTTAGGTAGAAGATATAAGAAGATTAAAATAATTTATGTCATTATTCTAATTTTAGGAGCCTTCATTCTTTTTGAACAATGACTCACTTTATACTGTTTTGCCAAAATATCCAGGAGAAAAATG